AATTTACCCTGAAATCTCCATACTCCCACCTTCCATGTGACTTATTCCTAATTTTTTGTTAGGTTAATCTAACACACAAATATTGCCAGTTGCTGCTCTTCTACTTTTGTAATATCTATATTACTATCTGCAAGTTGTCCAAAGAATAGTTTAAAAGGAAAGTAGTCCACTGATTGGGCTGGTTTAATGACTCTCTAGCCTTTTCATATGATGAAGGTGCTAAAGTCCTAGGAGTATTTCCACTCGTAACATTTTACTGGTGTACTTCTCAGAGAACCATCTACTTCAGTTACAGGACATGGTATTCCTCCTACCCATTTGTGGCACCACCTGTGTTTCCATTACTTGGATTCACAGGTGAATTGCTTAATTTTTAAATGACTTAAATAAAATTGATAATAATTAAACTTTATTTACTTAATCTGGTTCACACCATAACAGCAGTTTTGTTAATGCATTTGATGATATTAGTAACACCTAGATTACTACTGTGTCTTTTGTAACCCAGCCAGCCTGATAAGCCTTTATATTGGGTGAAAGGCCCGTCATCATTGGATATGGTAGATATAGTATGGTTACATATGTTTTCTTTGCTTTCACTTATAATTTCTTAGAAAGATATCAATCTAATTACCTTTTTTATATGAACTAAAGGGGTTGAGGATGAAGAAGTACTTTGCAGAAAACAATGCTTTTCTTCTGAGTGTCCATAAGAGTCCAGTATTTACATAACACTGGTTTGTTCCACTCATCTGCCTTTAAGTCCAATTATTCAAATTTTTGTGGTTCCAGAAACTGTTTTACCACATCTTTAGTATAGTCTAGGCTACTACCTTCCCAGCTTGTAACCTTTTCTAATCTTACCTCTCTTGAATTCTACCATCATTTTACATGTGGGTTTTTAGCTGTCACTATTGTGGAGGCAAGTCTATGTGATTTGAAGTTTACATTTTTATATTTAAAATGAATTCCAAACATGTACATATCTCTGGAAAACATTGTCCTCCTCCCCCCTCTACAAATTGGCAATAGATGGTTTTTCATTACAACTATAACTAAGAAATCTGACTTATGATGGAAAAGCACACGTCATGTATGTTTTCCTAATGGCAATGTTATAGCTAGTGAGTCTTCAAGGATCCTGATCCACTCTTGCTTTGTGCAGAGGCAATGTTATAGCTAGTGAGTCTTCAAGGATCCTGATCCACTCTTGCTTTGTGCAGAGGCAATGTTATAGCTAGTGAGTCTTCAAGGATCCTGATCCACTCTTGCCCTGATCCACTCTTGCTTTGTGCAAATCCTTGAAGACTCACTAGCTATAACATTGCACAAAGCAATAGTGGATCAGGATCCTTGAAGACTCACTAGCTATAACATTGCACAAAGCAATAGTGGATCAGGATCCTTGAAGACTCACTAGCTATAACATTGCACAAAGCAAAAGTGGATCAGGATCCTTGAAGACTCACTAGCTATAACATTGCACAAAGCAAGAGTGGATCAGGATCCTTGAAGACTCACTAGCTATAACATTGCACAAAGCAAGAGTGGATCACGATCCTTGAAGACTCACTAGCTATAACATTGTCTCTGCACAAAGCAAGAATGGATCAGGATCCTTGA